AAGCGCGCTCACTCGCCACCTGCGGTCGACTGCCCCAGATGTTCCCCCACCACGGAACGGGATGCTCCTGACACACCCTGTCCCTCAATACAGGACAGTGCTGTCTCCCACACAGAGGGGTCAAGAGACATTTGAAGCATCACCACATTCCCTCACGCATCAAAAACCTGTCTTACAGAGCAGCTTGAGCAACGACAAGTACAAAAAGATAAAAGAACCGTAAGGCCCAGTGCGTTTGCTCACATTAATTACTTTCTTGTAGCAACTGACAAGGGTTTTGATTCTAGAGGGGATGCGCTTCTGTACAATGCCAAACACGGCTGAGTCATCGCCTGTGGCACTCAGGCATTATGGTAATTTCAGCGGCTGAGAGAACTGGGGTTGTTTAGCCTGGAGAAAAGGAGGCTGAGGGGAGACCTTATTGCTTTTACAACTACCTGAAAGGAAGGTGTAGCGAGGTGGGGATCAGTCTGTTCAACCAAGTAACAAGTGATACAACAAGAAGAAATGGCCTCAAGTGGCACCAAGGGAAGTTTAGATTGGATCTGAGGAAGAATTTCTTTACTGAAAGGGTTCTCAGGCATTGGAAAGGGTTGCCCAGGGCTGTGGTGGAGTTCCCATCCCTGGAGGGATTGAAGACCCGAGTAGACATAGTGCTAAGGGACATGGGTTAGTTAAGGACTTGTCAGTGTGAGGTTAATGATTGGACTCTGTGATCTTAAAGGTCTTCTCCAATCCAGGCAATTCTGTAATTCTGAGTGTTTAAAGTGAGAGCATGGTGCACAGCAGAGTGCCTTTCTCCTCTGCTCTGTCACAGAGTGATCTTTTCTGCACGCTCTCTCTTCAGGGAGGTTACAGGAGTGAGGACAGACTGCACACAGCTGTGTGTCTATTGCCCAGGTATTCCCTTCCCACCTCAACTTACTCCTCATTGGTAGCATCTGCTGGACCACTATATATGATCAAAGCAGTTAACAGATGATTTTCCATCACGTTACAAAGGATGCATCACTTGATTCCTTACATTTACATGAACACTGGACAACAGATTCACACAGACATTTGTTAGCATCCACACTTTGTTGAGTATGTCCCAAAATGAATTTTAAATGAAATATTGAAATGAATACTGCAAATTGTGGCTTTTCTCGGAAAGCCAAGTTTACACCAAAATTCTTCTTTAATAAGAGCTCTCCATTTAAATGGATCTACTTCTTCAGTACCCATAAATGAACATATTCTCCTTCTGGATAGTAGTATGCTTTAAATTAGTGTTGCATAAATACCGTTACCTTTTTTGGTGAAAAACTCCTTGGAATATTTCCCCAACATAGCGTATTTTCGAGGGATTTTTCCCAGCAGTTCAATGATCAATGCTATGTGGTCTGCATTGGAGAACATTGCCAGCAAAACAGAAACATACAACAGTTTAATCAGTACATTGCATGCACACACTAACACTGGCCTGGTACAGACAGAAATAGATTGATCCTGGTAAAAAAGACACGTGCAGACTGCTCAGTGGCTAATTTGGAAAGATGCTTTCAGCAAAACTTCCTTCTCAAAACAATGTTTGAGTATCGGCTGCTACAAACAAGTTTTGCTATGTAATTTAAAATGCACCAATAGTTCTTTTTCAGAACATTTAGCTAAAAAAAAAAGTCACAGATTCCTGTGTATTTTGTTTTTCAAAAAGAAATTTTTGTTGTGTGATTTCAGGAAATGCTCCTCAGTGGGACAAGCTACAACCAGCAACAGCAATTCCACTTCTGTCTGCATCACGGCACCTTTCAAAAAGAAGAGGTACTACCTCTGCGATTGAAGAATTCCCGAGAATATTTTCCAGATAGAGCAAAGTGCCTTGGGATATTGCCTAGCAGCTCTATGATGTGTGCTATGTGGTCTATGAGGGAGAGAAAAAAAGGATACGGGAGTGGAAGGGGCAGGGAAAGGATGGGATAAAAAAGAAGAGGAAAGAAACTGGAATTAGTAAAAAATCAGAAATAGTTTCAAATCAACAATGTTTGCAGCAAATCCATGCAGAGGTTTCCAGGATCAGCAGAGCTCTGGCATCATTAGTAGCATTTAGAAACAATGAATGATGCCCACATTACCACTGCAAAGAGCATTTACAAGCAAACAAGCATGAAAATGGACAGGTATACAGATGGAAGCAGGAGTTAATTCTGATTTTTTAAAAAATTAGTAATTGCCCAATTCAAATAAAAATACACAATGTAAACATTATTCCAGTATTACTTTTATAAAGAGAAAGTACTAAAAAGTTCAAATCTGTCGTTTCTTTTCTAAACTAAAACGTTGTTATTCTCAATCAGGTTTCCACACATATGCAGTCTTACAAGAAGGGCAGTTTAATTCCTTCAGGCAGTTGTTAAGTAGATGAGTATCTGCAGAAGGGAGTTTTTGCCCACCCATTGCTAGTGATGGAACTTAAAACTAAAAAGAAAAAAATCATATTTATATTCTGAAAACAATGTGTATGAACAGTTCACTCAAATACAAAACTTAACTCCACTGTAAGCTCACTGGAAATTTAAGAAGAGGAGTGTGAAAATATATAGAAACTCACACAGTATCTCAAAAGATTCATACCTTCATCCCTGGAATAGTCTTCACCAGAATGGGGTTCAAACAAATAATCTCCAGTCGCTAGCTCAAAAGCCTGTAACATAAGAGACATATTTAGGGGTATTTCAGAAATACTGCTTTCAGTCTTAAGATGTCAGCAGAACATCACAACTATCTCAGAACCAAGAGGAAATTAACATTCAAAGCTAAAGGCCTACAGCTGGGTCTGTGACCGAGGAGAGGCCACTTACCTGGGGACCATCATTCCTGCAGGACACTGACAGCAGGAACCCAGGCTCTGGAGAGAACCTCACTTTTAGCCCAGAGCACACCCCATTGGAGGTTTGGCAACAGGCAGCACGCCCAAACCCCCGGCACTTCTGCCTGCTCAACCAGGACGAACAAAGGGTACGGACAAGGAGTGGGGAACTGCAGTCCCTCCCCAAGCAGCAACCCCTGGGGCTCCACCGGCAGACCAGGGAGTATTTCGGTCACGCTGCAAAGTTCAGCACCCGTCCCCGTTGGCCAACAGCATCCGGCTGCGACGGGAGCGATTCTGAACAGATCAGCTGCATGGGGGTGTGAGGGGGCAGCGGTGTAAGCTGACGTTAAACATGTTCGAACATGCTAATGTGCTGTCTGTTGATCATGTTAAATATGCGTAAATGAATGAAGCTGAGAAAGATGTATTCCTAAACACACAATAAAGAGCTACACTTGTATCTGAAGGCTAATTATCTGTCAGAGGTTGCCTGTTGGGGACTGAAATAATAAAGTGAATCAGAAATAAAATCCATTTATAACTATAATTAATCACTTGAAATTAGCAAACAGGGTAAGCTTCCTTGATGAGTCTAAATCTAGGACAGCTTTTCAAAAAGGCATTTGCGTTGAATCAGAAGTCATCAAAGCAAACACTGCAATCATGGGGTAAAATACTGACATGGATGAAGGATCCAGAGCAGACACTGTGATGATGGATCCCTCCAACCCATGGCAATGCTTCGATGGGATGCTAACCCTACGTCAGGTCAGGACAAAACTGCGTCTCTCTTTAAGGGTGTAATGCATATTAAAAGCCACAAAGCACTGAAGTAACTATGAGAGCCCACATTGTGTACAAACATGGATTCACCTAGTCCAATTTGTTAAACTATTCTCATTCTGCTCTGGATCACCAATTACCCAAGCAGCCACCGGAATCTAATTCTTTCCAGGTGGTTTAAACATCAAACTATTTTCCATCTCCAACACCAGGGAAACCATCCGATCCAGAAAATCATTCCAAAAATCAGGCAGAACTCCCTGGCACAGCTCCAGGAGGGGATTTCACTCTGTCAGAACATATACTACAAAATATTTGCCTCCTGAAAATACACACTTTTCTGTTCCAATTAATAATCTGGAGTTGTGAAATCACCTATAAATTTAGCCTACTTATGGGCACTTGGCTTTTTCAAGCTGTGAACTGCACTGTCATCCAAGTGCGCTACAGCCAAAATAATTCATTGTAATCACACACAGCAGCCAAGAAAGCAAGAATGCCCCTTTTTGATGTTTCTGTTGATCCTACAAATAGGCCTTTAATTTCTAAAGTCACTATCACTAATAAACAGTCATTCACTTATTTTCTTATTCTACTCTCAGCTCCAGATTGAGAGTCTTCCATTTTACAGCTTAAGAAAATTTGAAGGGCTTCATAAATTACCAGGTATTTAAACTGAGTAAGTTTTTAGAGTAGGCAGAAGACATCTTTGGCAGGGATGTCTAAACACAACATGGAGAATATTGTTATTCTCTTGAGATGAGACTGAGAAGCCCCAAGTGTCCCCTCTGTATCTCATGGGAATCTATTCACTGAAAGAGATGGGCCAGCTTTCCTAGGAGAACACATGCTGATGGGGCTGATTTCTGAGGACGTGAAGAAACTCACTGCTATTTAACACAGATTCCTGGAGAACAACAGAAATGTAGTTTAATTTAGCCACAAAGGTAGACTCCAAAAGAATACAGCTTCTGTCCTAAAAAAATGAAGTATTAATAGCTTGATACGTCTGCGTGGGACTAAAAAGATTAAATTGGAAAAACTGTAAAAACTGTTCATAGAGAAGCATAAGAAGTAAGCATACCACTGCAATACACTGAATTTTAGATCTGTTTGTAAATAGTAAGAGCTGCAAGCTCTCATAGATTTGGGATATTTACACCACCCTTTTGCCAAAGAGAAACTAAAGCTTTTCAAAATGATGCTGCTGCTTCTTTTTTTGTTTTTTTGTGTAGCTTTGACTCCAAGCCCAGCATGGGTTGGAGCCACAGAATCTCAGCCAGCTGAATTCCTGGTTCTCCTCAAAGGACTCTGCACCGACAACAGACATTTCTGACTCAGATGCACACAGGGGCAGCCCAGAGACAGCCTTGCCTTTTGGGTGCTGCCATACATATCTGTAATAATACTTCTTAGCATTCATGCAGGACAATGTCTCAGAGGTTCATCTGTAGCAACCTGGTAATAGGTTCCTAGATATTTGTATGATGGACTGGCTACACAGCACAAAATAAATAACATTAATTTGGTCTCATTTAAAAAAGAACAAATCCTTGACCCAGGTTTTTACCATAAAGAATCAGCACTAAAAACACATCTATAAGCAGGTAAATGGCCACAAGAAGGATAATGACACCCCTGGACTGTATCAGTCAGAGTTGTTCTGCTCTTTAAGATCATGTCCAAAGGTGTGGTGCACCAGAAAGCACATGCAGGCCCGTTACTGAGTCAGTGCCACCAAAAGAAGAGTTCTCTGCTGGTGGTACTCAGAACTACGGGTTTGGCAATGCAATGCTGCTTTTGACTTCCTGAGCACTTCTCGGTACTTATCAACACTTGGCACCCAACTGTAGGTACGTAAAACCACCCAGTCTCCAACTCAGAAGCTGCTGACACTCTGTGATAAAATCAGGAGGTGGAAACCCTGATGGACAGCAAGTTGAACACAGGTCAGCAGTGCACTCTCGTGGCAACGAAGGCTAACACATACTGGGCTGTACGGAACAAGGATGTTACCAGCCCTCGGTGGGAAGTTACTTCCCCTCTCCTCAGCACTGTCATCTGCACCTGGAGATCTGTGACCAGTCTGGAGCCACCAGTATGAGAGAGACCCTGTCAAACTGAAGAAGGACCAGGGAGAACTCTAAGATGTCAGGAGGCCGAGCAGAGGATGCAGAAGAAGAGGCTGGTGGGGCTCTGTTTGCTGAGGTTGGAGAAGGAAAGGAGAAGGGGTGATTTAAATGCTGCACTCCACTGCCAGAAAAGCAGTTCAGGAGAAGACCAAGATACACTGTTCTCAACAAAAGGACAACAGAGAGCAGCCACAAGCAGCAAGGTGGGAAATTCCAACCAGATTAAGAGGAAAAAAATTCTTCAGTGAGACTGGCTGAGCACGGGGACAAGCTGCTCAGAAAGGCTGTGGAAATGCCATCCTGACAGATATATACACCTCAGTTGGATAAGGCTCTGAATTACCTCATCTAACTTTCATGTTAACCCTGGTTCAAGCAGGGTGTAAACTACTAGAGACCCTTTTCAACCTAAATTTGCTTATTATTTCTATGACGTTACAAATACAGATTAATCGTATTTACTTACTTAATTTTGCTTGGAAAGTATTCATTTGTAAAAACTAGTTTCTTGATAGAAACTCAGACTCCAAATTACCATGATCTTTTTTACCTAATGTTGACATTTACCTCAACAGAAATAGCGTTTCAATTATTACATGGAGATAACAAATGAGATACAGCATACTCAACATATGGCACAAAAGCCCAAGGCAATCATCCATCCTTACTGACTGTACTGGCAATCAGTACTTATCATTTTTGTAAGGTTATCACAGAAAAACAGTCTAGACTGCTCTTCTCCATCTGCAGATGGAGAACCTTTCATATAAATGGTCACACTCTTGCTTTTGTAGGGCCTGGAGAGGCTATGATTCCTTTCCTGCCACATGATTATCTATAAACCTAGCACAATACTAAACTGTTGGCATCACTATCATGTATTATGGATCCATGTCTAATCACGAAATTCGAAATAGCTACATTTTCACTGTGTGACAGCTGTGTACTCAATCTGGTGACTGAAAATGGATGCGTGCCTAGGGAAAGCTGTCTGGGCGAAGACTGGAAGAACAATTCACTTGGACTACATCAGCCTCCCTGAATTCCTCTTATGAAGGCCCAGCTGAAAAAGGACAACAAGCTATAGGCCTGAATTATAATTCTGACAGACAAAATCCAGCTCTTGGACAGTTTCACTGCCCCAGCAGAAATGAAGAGCTGTGAATGAGGAGATTGTAACTGCCTTAAGAATAGGCTGAGTTTTAAGACCGCTGTTCCCCACGTAAGTGGGAGCATTGAAAGAAGAGCAAAAAGCTTTTTGAGGTATGCACAGCTGACAGTTTGTTCTGCCATGGACATCTCCCGCTGAGGAGTCAGGCAATGGAAAGAACAGAAAAGGCATCGTGCATGGTGAGTGCTTGGTAAGAAAGGCCAGATATACAAAACACAGAGATGCATGAAAAGGAAACAGGTTTCTATTATTTGCTGTACTCCTATCTCAGAATCATGAACATGCTGAGTGGTTGCTTTAGAAAGTCAGTTTCTCTGGAAAATCATTTTCTTCTGAATGTTTCAGGTTGTCCACCCACCACCTTCAAAAAGGGTGTACAGTGATTAATAACAGCATTTTGTACTGTATCTGCCTACTGAAAAATATGTGCATAGCGACTTGAAGGTTTTTTTCTTCTCTCAAACAGATTTTTGATTTTCTATTTTTCCTCAAAATACTGCTTCTGTGCAGACTGAGGCTTGTCATCACACCTTCAGTATATGCCACTCACACATACTAGCATGATGATACTCATGATCCCATGGAGACGTAACTTTTTCCCCAATAACAACAGAAGAAGAGTAGTTAAGGACAGTTACCTCTCCACTCCACGTTAGAGGATATTACACAAAGAAGTAAACTGGGGGTTGAAGTACAAGCACTTACATGTAGGTTGAATTTTAACACTGTAAGTTACTATATTCCAT